ACAGTAGCCTTGTATGGCTAATCCATGATTGGACTGAACGGTTCAGTGACGGAGCAGTTCTGTAGCCCTGTATGGCTGATCCATGATTGGACTGAACGGTTCAGTGATGGGGCAGTTCTGTAGCCCTGTATGGCTGATCCATGATTGGACTGAACGGTTCAGTGACGGAGCAGTTCTGTAGCCCTGTATGGCCAAATCATGATTGGACTGAATGGTTCAGTGATGGGGCAGTTCTGTAGCCCTGTATGGCCAAATCATGATTGGACTGAATGGTTCAGTGATGGGGCAGTTCTGTAATCCTGTATGGCTGATACATGATTGGACTGAATGGTTCAGTGATGGGGCAGTTCTGTAGCCCTGTATGGCTGATCCATGATTGGACTGAATGGTTCAGTGATGGGGCAGTTCTGTAGCCCTGTATGGCTGATCCATGATTGGACTGAACGGTTCAATGATGGCGCAGTTCTGTGGCCCTGCGTGGCCAAAACATGATTGGACTGAACGGTTCAATGATGGGGCAGTTCTGTAGCCCTGTGTGGCCAAAACATGATTGGACTAAATGGTTCAGTGATGGGGCAGTTCTGTAGCCCTGTATGGCTGATCCATGATTGGACTGAACGGTTCAATGATTGGGCAGTTCTGTGGCCCTGTATGGCTGATACATGAATGGACTGAACGGTTCAGTGATGGGGCAGTTCTGTAGCCCTGTATGGCTGATCCATGATTGGACTGAACGGTTCAATGATTGGGCAGTTCTGTGGCCCTGTATGGCCAAAACATGATTGGACTGAATCGTTCAGTGATTGGGCAGTTCTGTAGCCCTGTATGGCCAAAACATGAATGGACTGAACGGTTCAGGGATGGGGCAGTTCTGTAGCCCTGAGTGGCTGATACATGAATGGACTGAACTGTTCAGTGATGGGGCAGTTCTGTAGCCCTGTGTGGCCAAAACATGATTGGACTGAACAGTTCAGTGATGGGGCAGTTCTGTAGCCCTGAGTGGCTGATACATGAATGGACTGAACTGTTCAGTGATGGGGCAGTTCTGTAGCCCTGTATGCCTGATACATGAATGGACTGAACGGTTCAGTGACAGGGCAGTTCTGTGGCCCTGTATGCCTGATACATGAATGGACTGAACGGTTCAGTGACAGGGCAGTTCTGTGGCCCTGTATGCCTGATACATGAATGGACTGAACTGTTCAGTGACAGGGCAGTTCTGTGGCCCTGTATGGCTGATACATGAATGGACTGAACATTTCAGTGATAGGGCAGTTCTGTAGCCATGTATGCCTGATACATGAATGGACTGAACTGTTCAGTGACAGGGCAGTTCTGTGGCCCTGTATGGCTGATACATGAATGGACTGAACGGTTCAGTGATGGGGCAGTTCTGGGTATCGAGAGTTTGTTAGCATGGTGTAGGTGTTCCAGGAAGGCAGCTTGATTTCTCTTGTTTGACAACACTAGACATTACAACAGCAGGTCTGACAAGTCTTTCCTCTTGAGTGAGACTAACTGACTATCCCACGATAAACCCAATGATCATATCAGTGTCCAAGTGACCAATCAGAACAGCCCAGGGCTGCAGATAGCTCATATCTTACACAGTTCACAATCTATTGGCAAACTTCGGCCAGTCACACTGATAACAGTGAAAACTGTTATCAATAGTCCCCCTACCCTGATACACACAATGTAGCTAACATACAATACAGCAATGAATATGTTCCCCACAATCTGTCCGTGTCCTGCTGCTCTGTGACAGTGTGGCCTGTTTCTTGTTCCTTGTTGACTTACTCCTGTATATTGTTTGTTGTTTCATGTGCAATGTTACTGGTTCACTGGACTGCTCGCACTCGAACATACTGGTACAATCAGTCTTATGGTCCCATAGGTCTAAATTTAGTTGGTACATAAGCTATTTTACCAGTAAATTACTGGCAATTACTGACAAATGGAAACACTTTGTGTGTCATGATGCGTATTGTTCAATGTTGTGTCATGTGTCATGCTCTGTATTGTTCAATGTTTTGTCATGCTGTGTATTGTTCAATGTTGTGCCATGTGTATTATTCAATGGTGTGTTGTGTCATGCTGTGTATTGTTCAATGTTGTGCCATGTGTCAAGCTGTGTATTGATCAATGTTGTGTCATGCTGTGTACTGTTCAATGATATGCTGTGTCATGCTGTGTATTGTTCATTGTTGTGCCATGTGTCATGCTGTGTACTGTTCAATGTTGTGTCATGTGTCATGCTGTGTATTTTCAATGTTTTGTCATGCTGTGTATTGTTCAATGTTGTGTCATGTGTCATGCTGTGTATTGTTCAATGTTTTGTCATGCCGTGTATCGTTCAATGTTGTGCCATGTGTATTATTCAATGGTGTGTTGTGTCATGCTGTGTATTGTTCAATGTTGTGCCATGTGTCATGCTGTGTATTGATCGATGTTGTGTCATGCTGTGTACTGTTCAATGATATGCTGTGTCATGCTGTGTATTGTTCATTGTTGTGCCATGTGTCATGCTGTGTACTGTTCAATGTTGTGTCATGTGTCATGCTGTGTATTTTCAATGTTTTGTCATGCTGTGTATTGTTCAATGTTGTGTCATGTGTCATGCTGTGTATTGTTCAATGTTGTGTCATGTGTCATGCTGTGTACTGTTCAATGTTGTGCTGTGTACTGTTCAATGTTGTGCCATGTGTTGTGCGGTGTATTGTTTAACGTTGTGTCAAATAACTACTTCATTAGTCTGAGTCTCATTGCTGTTTCATAGGTGATATCAACACAACTGAAACATTGGTGGGAGATAAGTGCTTCCACCATGTCATGTGCAACAGGAGAAATAGTACTGGGTGGGATATAGTGGTCAAGCCCAGGTCATTCAGTGACCAGTAATTGCAAGTGCGTCTGTGCAGTGAAGCGTGCCAGGCTCCATCAGCTCCTGGGATGAGCAAACAGATTCCTGCCAGCCAGCCAGCATGCTGTCAGTTATGATGGAGCTGTCAGATACCTATGTACTCTCTCAGCCTTGGCCCGCCATCACATAAACCCTTGTGTTACTATTAATACAAGTAAATCCCATCACATGAACCCTCGTGTTACTATTAATACAAGTAAATCCCATCACATGAACCCTCGTGTTACTATTAATATAAGTAAATCCCATCACATGAACCCTCGTGTTACTATTAATACAAGTAAATCCCATCACATGAACCCTCGTGTTACTATTAATACAAGTAAATCCCATCACATGAACCCTCGTGTTACTATTAATACAAGTAAATCCCATCACATGAACCCTCGTGTTACTATTAATACAAGTAAATCCCATCACATGAACCCTCATGTTACTATTAATACAAGTAAATCCCATCACATGAACCCTCGTGTTACTATTAATACAAGTAAATCCCATCACATGAACCCTCGTGTTACTATTAATACAAGTAAATCCCATCACATGAACCCTCGTGTTACTATTAATACAAGTAAATCCCATCACATGAACCCTCATGTTACTATTAATACAAGTAAATCCCATCACATGAACCCTCGTGTTACTATTAATAAAGTAAATCCCATCACAAGAACCCTCGTGTTACTATTAATAAAGTAAATCCCATCACAAGAACCCTCGTGTTACTATTAATACAAGTAAATCCCATCACATGAACCCTCATGTTACTATTAATACAAGTAAATCCTTTCACATGAACCTTCGTGTTACTATTAATACAAGTAAATCCCAACACATGAACCCTCGTGTTACTATTAATACAAGTAAATCCCATCACACGAACCCTCATGTTACTATTAATCTCATTCTCAAGAACAGCAGAATTAGACGGACTCCCTACGATAAACTTATGCGCAATGTCCACAAATCAAATAGAAAAGAATGACACCGCCATCATGTTCTGGGGCTGTAAGTGGGATTCAAATGGGTTGCCAGAACTGAGACGAAGGGGATGAATGATATTATACACTGTATTTGCAGACACTTGACAAAGGGGGAAGAGTTCTTATTAAAAGCACACACAAGTTAAATCTGTTCTTAGAGATGTCAATGACGTCAATGAAGCTAAAGAAATTGACAACAGTAGCACAAGGATGTTATATACCCCTTGTACACTGCTGAATTACACATTGGTCAAGGAAGACATCAATATATGCTTGATGGTTTGTAGGTGGAAGATAGAGTGATGAGACAATACATTTCCTACACAAGCTCCCTGAAGCATGACGTTGCTACACCAGCTGTACACAGGCCATCTCAAACAAATATTGGTACACATCAAGGTCAGGGTCATAAATTTGCTCGTGGGGTTGCACGAACACAACTTCCCCTGAAAGTAGTCGACTGCTCTCAAAAGTATTTCAGGCATATCATCTTAATGTAGGAAGCAATACATGTGACCACATTGGTGATACGCATTCATGAGCACATTTGTAACCTGGATCCAATCAGGTTTCAGCTCATCTGTGTATTGAGATTGGTTCAATGTTTGCAACAAGGGTTTCAGCTCATCTGTGTATTGAGGTTGGTTAAGTGTATATATGCAACAAGGGTTTCATCTCATCTGTGTATTGAGATTGGTTAAGTGTATATATGCAACAAGGATTTCAGCTCATCTGCGTATTGAGATTGGTTAAGTGTATATATGCAACAAGGGTTTCATCTCATCTGTGTATTGAGATTGGTTAAGTTTATATGCAACAAGGGTTTCAGCTAATCTGTGTATTGAGATTGGTTCAGTGTTTGCAACAAGGATTTCACACCATCTGTGTATTGAGATTGGTTAAGTTTATATGCAACAAGGGTTTCATCTCATCTGTGTATTGTGATTGTTCCGCACACTACATACAGTACATATCAACAACATTTGACATTGTATGCACCAATGTGTTGCTAACAGATCTATATTAGCCAACTGATGTATGTTTCAATTCATGGACAAATATTACAAACATCATTAAGAGAAACTACTTACGAAAGCGGGTCTGGAAACCCATGACCTGGTTTTATCTGAAATGGAAAAAATCCTGTTCATCATCCTGCTCATCACGGTTGAATCCTAGGGCATATGTCAACCTACGTCTACATGTACACAAGGATGTCTTAGTACTGCTATGGACTGAAAAAAATCTCGCAATTTCTTTGCTATTTCTGGTGGATACGGGTCAAAGGAGCACCAGTGAGGTGGACACCTATCATGCAACATGTTAAGAGGGTGATCACCAGGTGGAAACAGCTGGCTGATCATCTGGGTCAATCATGTCAATACACACACTTGTATGTTTGGATAGAAAATAATTAATACAAGATACATGTATATCAACATGTATTTTCTAGAGATGAATATTGCATGGTATCTTGCGATACGATTTATATCATGATACAGAATGGTGATACTACTGGTATCACGATACACCACATCAAAAAGTAAGAAATGATGAAATCACTGAGATACAGCTCTAAAACATCTCTCTTCATACATATATTTATTATTATCTCAAAAACATTAACAAAGAAAGCCACAAGAACTAAACAGTTTTAAATGAAGGGATGGTTATTCAGTGTAACAATTATTCGGCATGTCCTCAGCCACCATGTTCTCAGTATCTGCCATGATTACTAGTGGCACTGTGCTGCTTTTGCCATTATAGGAGCTAACTCTATTCTTTCTGTTCTATTTATAGAGTATCGCAATCTCACAAGTATCATCTGTACCTGAGTATCGAAGATATCGTAGATATCTGTGAATTGTTACACTCACTTACAGCCCTAGTGTATCGTAGATATCTGTGAATTGTTACACTCACTTACAGCCCTAGTGTATCGTAGATATCTGTGAATTGTTACACTAACTTACAGCCCCAGTATTTTCAATACAACACTGGAGGGCAAGGTCTTCCTTTCATCTGGAGACAATCAATGTTCTCCTGCAAATTGTTGCAACATAGGTTTTCAAAACATGATAAATTCTTACTTTTATATCAAGACTGCAGTGTCAGAATTTAACACAAGCCCACTAGCCTGGGGCTAGTACAAATGCTTGCAGGTAAGTACAAATTTCCCAATTTCTCCATTGTTTTAACATAACAAGGGCATTTTATCTTTACCCTTGCTAGCAAACCTTCTGAGTTTAGTTCTAACCCTGAAACAGCGGGCTTTCTTTCCAAATACCACTCTTAATAGTCTTATTTATACATGATTGAAAAGACCACTATAACAGTTGACACTAATGTTAACAGTAATAGCAAATGTTAAGATTCAAATACATGGAGACTAGTATTGGGAAGTTAGAATTACAAGGAAACAAATGAAAAGATAAAAGTGTGTCCTGTAGCCCACAACCAGGATGTAACTGCATTACGAGTAACACCACTTTCCTGATAACTACTCACTACTATCAGCCTAGGGGCACTGCTTCCTGAGATGCCGAGGGGGAAATAGAAATGAAAGCATCTGGCGATCTCACTTTCAACATTACAATTCAGACGTAAAGAATCCACATGGATATGAAACCACAGCAGGCTGATACACCGATAGGGAAAGAGAAACAACTCAGAGGCCATAACAACAGTGGTGGTCAACATGGTCATTCTAACAATAAAATCTTTCAAAACATGTACAGGTTACAATGACCCTAACTATTAATTTGTTGTGTTTTTTTCCTGGATAAATCCCTGGAATGACACAGGTTATGTTCATGGTGTTGTTGTTACTGAGCTGTTGTAATGACCCCGAGTTAACACAGAGCCACTATGCTGACACCTTCACTGCAAAAACGGGACATTTTACTTTCAATGGTCATAAAAGAGAAGGTCATTCTACTGAGCTTGCAATACTCCCAAATACAAATTTATTTATGAGAATAACAATTAAAAATCCAACCAGATTTGTGTGATTAATGAAATGTTACCATGGTTACCATCTAGTATGTATTGTATCAAGGCACGAGTACAAATACGGACATTCATAATGATAAATACTACCTTTGAGTACCTGAAAAATGACTAACATACCTGGGAAAATAACAAACCCTGACCACTAGCCAAACTCAATGGCACTATATTACAAATATCCTAGAGGCAAAAAGGAAATATGATATTTCAAATATTTTATTCATATTTTCATCATTTGGATGAGCATTGTGAAAATATAGCTGTTTTCCAAGTAAATTAGAGCAGTGTGCAGCAATAAACACAAGAAGTAAACAAAATTGGGAGAGTATTTAAAGTGTCAAGTGACACATACAGGATTTGGATTGTGAATCGTCCTGCTCCTTGTCTCGCTTCGTAAGTCATCTATTGTAGCCCAGACAAAGAGCCTCTATACAACAAGTAGTGGCGGAGAACACAATGTCTGTATTCTTCAACAGAGAAACACTACTTCCTCTCATTTCTCCCTGAATGCAAGTGACAATCAAGGCCAAACATTTTCTCTTTCCAAATTCAGTCAGTATGACGGATATCATGATAAACAATAATGTTATCCATTGCAAGACTTGATGGGGATTTCATCATGGTGATCTCATCTCACCTCGTCTACATCCCAAACTGGGTTTACTACGTACAATCACCCCTAAATCTCTTAACTGGATCTTGAGATCCACATAATGTATTCCACAGCTTACAACACATGTACAATGCTAAATTAAACTGTTCTGAGTGTTTATGATGACATTTCTACATTCCTGAAAATGTTCAATCATTGATAGTCTAGGCATGAAAGATAGTTGGAGACCATAAGTTTAAACTGTTTCAAAGTTACCAACAAAAAGCAAGTGCTGCAACATGAGATCAAGCAAGCATCTATGTCAGATGAATAAGTTGGAAGTGAAGAATGAAAAGAAGTGACCAGCGTGAGCTATGAATGGATCCGACGCGTGAACACCAGTGCACAGAGACACAAGACACCATTTAAACTACTTGATCTGTTTCAGTTATGAAAGGTCAATAAGTGACAAACAAGCTATCTGTTTTCAATTCAGGACATAGAAACAAACGAGTCAAGGGCAGTGAATGACACACACTTGAACCGTATAAGGAAGTATTTCTCCAACATTCCCAGTAGACAAATTAACTCTTTGTAATGCTTTACAAAATATTCTTGCAACAATTTTCCCCCTAACAGTATCAAATTTTGTGAAATTAGACCAGATTCAGACCTACACAGAACACAGAACAAAATTTAAAACAATCCAAAACAGATCTAAATTGAAAGGGAAATCAACTGGATCTATCAAATTTGGTGCATACAGAACATTCCGTTCAAGGCAATAGAGTCAGTGAGTTGTGTGTAACTGTAACCGCGCTTTTAACAGTATCCCAGTTATATCACGGTGTGTCAGCTTAATGTGGGAGGAGCATGAGGAAAGCCCGAAGTGATGAGGATCATAGACGTTCACCACTTCTGTGAAACCCACGAGCACGGGTTTGGTGCTGACAAACCTAGAAACATAATCAGGGCGAACCGGGATTTGAACCCACAATCATAGGTTTCTGGCGTGCCCAAGGGACGCAACTCTGCACAGCGAATTGCGGCACCTTAGATGACTGGGCCTGTTACACAAAATGTTTGCGCACATCTTTCCAAACAAAAAATCCACTGAGATCTAGCATTCATTTTGTCAGCATGGCTTGTGTCCATGTTTATTATCAATATTATCTTTAGTCACAGTACTCTTGTCATCCAAAATTGGGTCAGACAATTGCACCAGGAAAAGGCTGAAACTCTCCATGAGAATCTATCTATTTTTAGCTACACAATATACTGACTTCAGATCAAGTTCAAACATTATGCATCCAAACGTTGAAATACACTCATGACAGTAGATGATAGTGATACTCACTTCTAAAGGTATTCCACTAATATCACCCACAATGTAGGTCAAATGTTTGTCTGTTTGGATGAACGCTGGGGAGAAAGAAAAAGTCCATTATTTATGGCAAAAGGGGTATACATGTAAACGACAATGTTAATGAGAACACTGGAATATACGGTGAACTGTCAGTGTACGGAGATGTCATTGCAGTAGCGTAAGTGACCGTTCTTTATAGACAAGCTGTTCTGCTCGAACGCGTTGTAGAATCTATTTCCGGCATGGTCACATTAACAATAAACACATCAAAATATGGCAATATCACCACAGATTTTGCTTCATCGATCAGTCAGTGTGAAACCTGACACATTATTGTCATAAACTCAAATTCATGTTTCACATATGTCATCACAATCAATGTCATTTTTGGGACAAACACATTGTTGTGTTCGCGACAGTCCCGCATGTAAACACAAGCGCAACCTCACAGCATTAATACCCTGTTTTCACCATCCAGACATAATGTTTCGGGTTTTATTCTGTGTCTTACCTTGGCTGTGACTTTCTACTGCATCTACATATGTTGAAGAAGGTTGTAAAGTTTGTAATAGAAGAAAAAAATGTAAAAAATCTAGCACTTTGTCTGTAACGTGAATATCCAACCGCGCCATGCTTGCCTAACTCAGCTCTCGAATGTCAATATCTGACGTTTTCAAAGAACGACACCAACAGGGCCTCAAATGTCATTATGATATCTCTAGAAATCACAATAATATTTGTGCAATCATAATACAATGTCTCCGACGCTGCGTTTTATAGTTATACAGTCATCCTCAGAGCTACCTGGATACGAAACTAAGCGATACATAGCACATTATAACAAGTGTGAGGCGTATTATGATTGGTCGTTCTCTTGGTTACACGACCTGAGTCACTTCCGGTGAATGGCGATACGTATAGGCTACATACGTAAGATTTCAGCTCATTTGGCAGTCGGTGTACAGTCAGTTATTTCCTTGTTGACAGTACTGGTAGAGAACATTGCCTATTTCATGTTCACATAAAATATTATTGTACGTGTTGAATAATTACCACCTCAAAGGCTTAACATAAATGAAACATTGAAAACTGATATATTCTTTACCATTTTCCAGGAACCACGCATGATGGAACATGGGTGTGCATGATATCTATGAAACCAAGATTAGTGCGTGCAGACATACATATATACATGGTCAATATTGAATAGCATTTTTTCATATTTAGTTTCAAGTTCATTAATTGCCCCGAAAAGTAAAAAGTAGTCAAGTTACCAAATAAGGAACATAACATAATTAGATTTTGGCTTTCAGCTCATATTGATATCCACCGTGTTATCGGTTTTCGGACACAAGAAACATTCGTAGTTTTCTCTCTAAACACATGAACAAGTGTAAAACCTCCGCCCCACATGTTGCTATGCTACACCCCACATTATAGTGTGAGTAATCGTTGCGATAAACATGGCCATCTGAAAACATGTCTTCTGAAAACCTTTGATCTGACAAAATTCAGTGTTGGCTTATGCAGATTATGCCACTTGTCTTTATCCATCCATCCATCCATCTGTCCCTCCATCCATCCATCTATCCATTCATCTGTCCTTCCTTCCATCCATCCTTCCATCCATCAATCCATCCACTACTACTGAATAAATAGCTCTTTTCAAAATAAATTGAGCATATCCATGTCATTTTCACATATTAGCAAAACTGAAGCAAACATTTTGTAATTAACAAAGGTCCCAACTGTATGAACAGGAAGAGTCCCTCTTGTTTTCGTCATTCTCCCAACTTTGCATCAAACATGATGGATAGCATTTAAACATTTTGTTTTTTCAAGATCAGTTTTCTTCCATTTGTGTCAAAACATTTCTGACAGCAATTACCTCTTCTGAATTTACAACATGGCATTGCATTGATAGGCCTACCTTTAGAATACAGTACCACAAACATTTTTAAAACATGACAATTCCCTGTGAAGTAATTTGTAGTATTTTGTTGCCAGTCACACTGGCGAAACAATGCCATGTGACGTCAGGGGTTATTAAGTGTGCATAAGCTCCTCCCAGTGATCTATCATCTCTACATGCAATGTCATTGAATACACCCAGCGATGTTGAGAGTTTTCAATATTTGTTTACTAAATATAGCCTGCACATCTTATAGGAATCGCAAATTTATGAAAGCCTGGTTTGTTTGTTGTTTAACGCCCCGATCAGCAATCAGCAATGTTCCATTGACTGATCAGACAGTCCAGTGACTGACATCATGAGTATCTATCTATGCAATTGGGATACGATGACATGCATCGACTAAGTCAGCGACCCTGACCACCTGATCCTGTTAGTTGCCCCTTATGAAAAGCATGGTTGCCTCTTATGGCAAGCATGGGTTGCTGAAGACCTGTTTTACCCCGGATCATCACAGTGTTCATATCAAGTACCCTATTACGGTCATTATGATTGGGTACCCCTTTCCGATCAAACACCCCTTCAAGATCCTCAGGGTTGGGCACGCTTTTGCGATACTCAATTAGTTGTGAGGTTGGGTATGGGTCAGCTATCACTTTTAACAAATTAAGCCCCTCTAAATTGTGGAAACTTCAAACAATTTGTAGCAAGTTTCGACTTTAACAGAGGAAATGGTCACTTTGCATGCATGTAAACAATCAGGTCTGATGACTTGGTGCTCGAGCACTAGCTATTTGTGATAGCATTCATTGTCCCAGTGTAAAGTGTTGACCAATGAGATTAATTCATTAGTCGGCTTTGAAGCTTCAAGGTGGCAGCGCAAGTTTAAGCCTCTAAGCAATGCTAATGGAAATCCAAAAAAGTACGCCAGATAAAGTGCACTACTCCTTAAAATGATGTTGTTATTATTTTACATCCTGTTTGTTAAAACAGTTAAATGTTATGAAGTAAGGATGCATGTGTGTATTTTCTCATATATGAAATAGAAAGTATCTAGAAGTACAACAGGAAACTTCCCAAGGGCTTTGGGGCATTTTGACTTTATGTATGGAAGTAGATGCAAATGTGTTCTGGCAACTTGTCAGGGGGTGTTATTCTGTCCATGGTTCTTTTTACAATAAAGAGGAATTATGTTCTAATGGCTGAAATGGCAGTGAAAATGATATTCTGGTACTCTATACTCTAATGTGCTGTACTGGGCATCATGGACATGGGCACAACAGTTTCCTCCATTGGTTGAAAGTTTGACAACGTCCAACCATGTGACACAGAGCAACAACCAATCATATTACCACGATCGGACCATGGAGGATCCACTGGAATGTATCAATGTATGAATGGAGGGGTTGTAAATGACAACAAAGAACAAACTGTTGCGTGAATGAAAGATGTTATTTATAAATGTACGAAATATGATAACTTTGTGCAGAATTGCACAGCTCAACTGTGTCATGAAGAAAAGAAAATGACAACATCTAACAAACTAGAGTGACCTCCCTTTGGTATTACTTCTCCATGCTCCTCACAGCCATACCCTGTTCGCGGAGCTCTCTATACTATCGCTGCCACCAGTCAAAACTCCCCACAGCCATACCCCGTTCGCGGAGCTCTCTATACTATCGCTGCCACCAGTCAGAACTCCTCACAGCCATACCCTGTTCGCGGAGCTCTCTATACTATCGCTGCCACCAGTCAGAACTCCCCACAGCCATACCCCGTTCGCGGAGCTCTCTATACTATCGCTGCCACCAGTCAGAACTCCTCACAGCCATATCCTGTTCGCGGAGCTCTCTATACTATCGCTGCCACCAGTCAAAACTCCCCACAGCCATACCCCGTTCGCGGAGCTCTCTATACTATCGCTGCCACCAGTCAGAACTCCTCACAGCCATACCCTGTTCGCGGAGCTCTCTATACTATCGCTGCCACCAGTCAGAACTCCTCACAGCCATACCCTGTTCGCGGAGCTCTCTATACTATCGCTGCCACCAGTCAGAACTCCCCACTGTGATAGGAGGCACTACAACCATGCTTGGAGTTGAGCCCACAGCCGACTGACCGTTATGTTTACAAATAAGTGATGACTGCCATGACCCCAAATACTCTACTCCCTGCTAAATGATTTTCTTTCTTTGTCAATTTGAATTTCTGATATAGTAAGAATGTAAGTGGAAAGATTTTTTTGTTCGTCTGCAACCTCGAACAAATCTGATCAAACTAACAAGTAGGTAAATTCATCTAGGAAATATGGTCAGTCATAAATCTTTTAAAAATTCACTGATTGCATTACCAATTACATAGCTTGGTATTGTACATGTACACCTCAACAATAGCTTGGTATTGTACATGTACACCTCAACAATAGCTTGGTATTGTAAATGTACGCCTCAACAATAGCTTGGTATTGTAAATGTATGCCTCAACGATAGCTTGGTATTGTAAATGTACACCTCAATGATAGCTTGGTGTTGTAAATGTACACCTCAACGATAGCTTGGTATTGTACATGTACATCTCAACAATAGCTTGGTATTGTAAATGTACGCCTCAACAATAGCTTGGTATTGTAAATGTACACCTCATCGATAGCTTGGTGTTGTAAATGTACACCTCAACGATAGCTTGGTATTGTAAATGTACACCTCAATGATAGCTTGGTATTGTAAATGTACACCTCAATGATAGCTTGGTGTTGTAAATGTACGCCTCAACAATAGTTTGGTATTGTAAATGTACACCTCAACGATAGCTCAGTATTGTAAATGTACACCTCAATGATAGCTTGGTATTGTAAATGTACACCTCAATGATAGCTTGGTATTGTAAATGTACACCTCAATAATAGCTTGGTATTGTAAATGTACACCTCAACGATAGCTCTGTATTGTAAATGTACACCTCAACGATAGCTTGGTATTGTAAATGTACACCTCATCGATAGCTTGGTATTGTAAATGTACACCTCAATGATAGCTTGGTGTTGTAAATGTACGCCTCAACAATAGTTTGGTATTGTAAATGTACACCTCAACGATAGCTCAGTATTGTAAATGTACACCTCAATGATAGCTTGGTATTGTAAATGTACACCTCAATGATAGCTTGGTATTGTAAATGTACACCTCAATGATAGCTTGGTGTTGTAAATGTACACCTCAACGATAGCTTGGTATTGTACATGTACATCTCAACAATAGCTTGGTATTGTAAATGTACGCCTCAACAATAGCTTGGTATTGTAAATGTACACCTCATCGATAGCTTGGTGTTGTAAATGTACACCTCAACGATAGCTTGGTATTGTAAATGTACACCTCAATGATAGCTTGGTATTGTAAATGTACACCTCAATGATAGCTTGGTGTTGTAAATGTACGCCTCAACAATAGTTTGGTATTGTAAATGTACACCTCAACGATAGCTCAGTATTGTAAATGTACACATCAATGATAGCTTGGTATTGTAAATGTACACCTCAATGATAGCTTGGTATTGTAAATGTACACCTCAATAATAGCTTGGTATTGTAAATGTACACCTCAACGATAGCTCTGTATTGTAAATGTACACCTCAACGATAGCTTGGTATTGTAAATGTACACCTCATCGATAGCTTGGTATTGTAAATGTACACCTCAATGATAGCTTGGTGTTGTAAATGTACGCCTCAACAATAGTTTGGTATTGTAAATGTACACCTCAACGATAGCTCAGTATTGTAAATGTACACCTCAATGATAGCTTGGTATTGTAAATGTACACCTCAATGATAGCTTGGTATTGTAAATGTACACCTCAATAATAGCTTGGTATTGTAAATGTACACCTCAACGATAGCTCTGTATTGTAAATGTACACCTCAACGATAGCTTGGTATTGTAAATGTACACCTCATCGATAGCTTGGTGTTGTAAATGTACACCTCAACCATAGCTTGGTATTGTAAATGTACACCTCATCGATAGCTTTGTGTTGTATATGTACGCCTCAATGATAGCTTGGTATTGTAAATGTACACCT